TTTTCAGAATAGTGTACTATTCCAGTATCCATATTGTTTTAATCTTGGAAAAAAATGTCTTTTGTAATTTGCTATAAAATCAACTACATCTATATTAACAGGTAGCCAACATTTGCACGCACACCTATGCTAAGGTTTCTTCTGAGGAACCATGTTCCAGCACAAGCAGTGAAAGAGGTGATGGTAAACAACATCCTCCGAATCTTTCAGGAACTTGTTCCCCTACAAAACAGTTGCTTCGAAAGAAGATTAAACAAACGAGTGAAAGCTTGAGGAGGCGAGATAAAAAAATATCCAACATGAAAGAGCTCATCAAGAAGTGAAAGCATGAGGGTAAATGAAAGTGGATGTGAAGCCATCAGAAATGTCTTTCTTGGTGTTGTGGGTCTTTTGGTACAAGATACTTTGAGAAACAGAAAAGTTGTTTTCAACTTGGTGGATGTTATTCACAAGAGGTAAAAATACTGTCTATGGCCATTTATTTTTAGTATCCAAAAGCTTTGCAGATTTCTGCATCAACCATCTGGACTACCTCATCCTTGTGAAGTACGTATTTGGAGTATTTCTGTAAAGTGTGAACCAGGTGTTTTGGGAGAACTCTTTTAAAGTTTAAAAAATAATTAATAGAGAAAGCATACGTGAAAGTTTCACCTTAGCAACTGATTCTGTGGCTTTGCAAGTGGAAACTGAGAGGGATATTGCCAGAGAGAAATACTCTCATTTTATAAATTATGGTGGAGTTGTGCATGAATAAATTGAGGAACTTGCTTCAGAAGCACTTATCTTTACAGTTGTTGGTTTGGCAGAGAATTGGAAGATACCTATTCCTTACTTCTTTACTGATGAAGTAGATAATAAGGTTTTAAGTCAACTTGTCAAACCCTCTTGATGAAGCAGGTTTCTCTACATGGAGTGTTACTTGTGATGGAAATATTTCCAAGAGAGAGAAAAAAAAGTGATATTGTAAGTATGTTAGTGGTGGTTCTTATTTTAATGCATCATCTTAAACACACAAAGTTCATATTTCTTTTGTGTTCAGTAATTTACTGCTTTAATCATAATTATGTGTTTTATACACAGATTCCTTTCCTTTTAGACTTGGTAGGTATTTAGGTTAATCATATATCTCATTCCCCGGAGGGGAATGAAATATAACCAGGGGCGGTCAGAAACACGTGTTTCTCTTCACTCCACTACATAAATGGGAATGTGTGGCCGAGGCTTTTATGGTTTAGACATTTACATTAAAGATTTATCAGTAATATTTTTCGGAGCGGGTTTTAAAAGCGTTGAGGGAAAAGCTGCTTGGAGACGTGGCTAAGCAGAGCAAGACGGAGAGCTTCGTTGAGATGTTTACTCTTCCTTCATTCTGTCACTCGTACTGCAGCGCGGGAGCTTTCGTTGGTCGCGTGACGTTGATCCCTCGCCGAGTAGAGCAGGGAGAT